CCCTACAGCCATTCGACCCATTGGGTCCACGCTGCCCCTCTGAAGAGGATCCCTCCCACAGCCAATCCACCCTAACCTGCACATTATGGGACAATTTAGCACGGCCAATCCACCCTAACCTGCACATCCCTCGGCACTAGGGGACAATTTAGCACGGCCAATCCACCCCAACCTGCACATCTTTGGACTGTGGGAGGAAACCGGAGCACCCGGAGGAAACCCACACAGACACGGGGAGAATGTGCAAACTCCACACAGACAGTCACCCGAGGGTGGGATTGAACCCAGGTCCCTGGCGCCATTAGGCAGCGGTGCTAACCACTGAGCCACCATGCCACCTATCAAAATTTCTAAAATCATGAGGGGTATAGATAAGGTGAATAGACAAGGACTTCCCCACAGGGTAGGGGAGTCCAAAACTAGAGGGGCGTAGGTTTAAGGTGAGAGGGGAAAGGTTTAAAAGGAACGTGTGGAACAACTTTTTTATCCAGAGGGTGGTGTGTGTATGGAATGAGCTGCCAGAGGAAGTGGTAGTGGCTGGTACAATTACAACATTTAAAAGGCATCTGGATGGGGACGCAGATAGGAAGGGTTTAGAGGGATATGGGCCAAATGCTGACAAAGGGGACTGGTTCAGTTTGGGAAACCTGGTCAGCACGGACGTGTTGGATGGACAAGTAAATATCCCCAGGAGCCACTTTGGAGATGCATGAAATGCAGCTTCTGATTTGCACAGCAAGCTCCGCCAAGCAGCAATGTGATCCTGACCAGACATTGTTTGAGAGGTGAGTGCAGGCTCTAGAACACTGGAGAGAGCCTCCTCTTCAAAGCAGACCGTTCAGTCCATCATGTCTGTACTGGCTCCCCCGAGCATTTGGCCCTGGTGCCGAACTCCTGCCTTTTCCCCCCGTGTCCCTGCATGTTGGTTCTGTTTAAACAACCATCTGATTCCCCTCATGAACCTGCCCCCACCACACCTCCAGGCAACGCATGAATGCTGGCAAATGGGACTAGATTAATTTAGGATATCTGGTTAGCATGGACAGGTTGGACTGAAGGACCTGGTTCTGAGCTGTAGGAGTCTATGACTCTACTCACTGAGTAAAGAAAAAATCCTTCTCACCTCTCATTTGGACAAATCGTCAAAACCGCACTTAATCTCTTTCGTAACCCAGGAACAGTTTCTCCCTTTCTGCTCAGCTGTGGTTTTGGAAGGTGCTAACAAACATCCATGCCAAGGAAATCCCAACCTCTCCAAGTCTATCCTTATAACGAACATTTCACATCGCTGGCATCATTATTATAAACCTCTTCTGCCCTCTGTCTTCTTCAGAGTTGAAAGGATTGTCATAGATGTGGCCATCGCTGGCCAGGCCAGCCCCAGAGGGCAGTTAAGAGTCAACCACGTTGGCTGTGGGTCTGGAGTCACATGTAGGCCAGACCAGGTAAGGATGGCAGTTTCCTTCCCTAAAGGGCATTAGTGAGCCAGATGGGTTTTTCCCCCAACAATGGGTTCATGGTCATCAACAGCCCCACAGAATCCCCCTACAGTTTTGGGGGCAGGCCATTTGACCCATCATGTCCATACCGACCCTATAAAAGAGAATCCCACTCTATCCCTTTAACCCTGCATTTCCCATGGCTAACCCACCTCGTCCCCACATCCCTGGGCACTACGGGACAATTTAGCACGGCCAATCCACCCTAACCTGCACATCCCTGGGCGCTATGGGACAATTTAGCATGGCCAATCCATCCTAACCTGCACATCCCTGGGCATGATGGGACAATTTAGCACGGCCAATCCACCCTAACCCGCACATCCCTGGGCACTATGGGACAATTTAGCACGGCCAGTCCACCCTAACCTGCACATCCCTGGGCACTATGGGACAATTTAGCACGGCCAATCCACCCTAACCTGCACATCCCTGGACACTACAGGACAATTTAGCACGGCCAATCCACCCTAACCTGCACATCCCTGGGCACTATGGGACAATTTAGCATGGCCAATCCACCCTAACCTGCACATCCCTGGGCACTATGGGACAATTTAGCACGGCCAATCCACCCTAACCTGCACATCCCTGGGACACTATGGGACAATTTAGCACGGCCAATCCACCCTAACCCGCACATCCCTGGGCACTATGGGACAATTTAGCATGGCCAACCCACCAGAAACAGAAATTGCTGGAAAAACCTAGCAGGTCTGACAGCGTCTGCAGAGAGAAATCGGAGTTAACCTCTCGGATTAAGTGACCCATCCCCAGGGCACCTAACCTGTACATCTTTGGACCGTGGGAGGAAACCGAAGGAAACCCATGCAGACACGGGGAGAATGTGCAAACTCCACACAGTTGCCCGAGGATGGAATCGAACCCGGGTCCCTGTGTGGGACAGCAGTGCTAACCACTGAGCCACTATCTTAATTGCACTGCAGGAGGCCCAGGATGGACATGTCGTCTGAGGAATGGGA